AAGGACCTAAAGTTACTATGCCATTGGGCTCTATGCAGCCACAGTGCGGCTTGGCCGAGTCCACCAGGACTTTCACTTTCCTACTGCCTGGAGAAGCAGATCCATGGTGCGGCCGCCATTGCGCAGCTCCGCGGCTCGATCCTCGACGTGTGGCGCTACTGGGTGTCGTGGAGAGGATAAGGGTCTCGCCCGCGAGCCCTAGGCGAAACCCTAGTCCATTCCCCCCTTCCACTCGCCGATTTCTTCCACCCCGAGATCGCCTGCATGCGTCCATGGTCGTGCCTTCATTTTAGCCGTGGCAACCGGCCACCATACGCCGCTCCACTGTGTCCTGGAGCATCGCCCACGATGGCTACATCAACCACACGCGTCTTCTCGAGCAGGAGCGTCGCCGAGCAGCCGCCTTTGTCCATCTACATTAACGTCAGTCGTTGTTCGATCCGCACCGTGTCGACAACCCCTAGCTTCCACGAGTGCCTCATCCGCCTCACTGTGAGGCCCCGCACAAAAGCCCTCTCCTTCCCGTGCATTTCGGCCGCCCTAGCTAGCTCTCCATCGCAGTCGAGCTCCTGCCGCCGCCGTTGAGCGACGAGGGCAAGTGATGTATGTTGTTGGGGAACTTAGAGGAGAGATGATCAGGTCACCCACCGCCCGGACTCCTAGCAAGATTCCACTAGCCAAAGATGGTATCTGCTACGTCTTGAGCTAGCGTTGGTTTTCCCCAAAGAGGAGAGGGTGATGCAGCAAAGTGTAGCATAAGTATTTTCCTCAGTTTTGAGAACCAAGGTATCAATCCAGTAGGAGGCTCCTCAAAAGTTCCAAGCACCTATACAAACAAACTGAGAACTCGCAACCAACGCACTAAAGGGGTTGTCAATCCCTTCACGGTCACTTACGAAAGTGAGATCTGATAGAGAGATAATAATATTTTTGGTATTTTGTGATATAGATGCAGAAAGTAAAGATGCAAAAAAAAGTAAATTGAAAGCAAATATGATAAGAGATAGACCCGGGGGCCATAGGTTTCACTAGAGGCTTCTCTCGAGATAGCATAAGTATTACGGTGGGTGAACAAATTACTGTCGAGCAATTGATAGAAAAGCAAATAATTATGACGTTATCTAGGCATGATCATGTATATATGCATCACGTCCATAACAAGTAGACCGACTCCTGCCTGCATCTACTACTATTACTCCACACATCGACCGACTCCTGCCTGCATCTAGAGTATTAAGTTCATAAGAACAGAGTAACGCCTTAAGCAAGATGACATGATGTAGAGGGATAAACACATGCAATATGATATAAACCCCATCTTGTTATCCTCGATGGCAACAATACAATACGTGTCTTGCAACCCTTTCTGTCACTGGGTAAGATCACTGCAAGATTGAACCCAAAGCTAAACACTTCTCCCATGGCAAGAAAGATCAATCTAGTAGGCCAAACCAAACTGATAATTCAAAGAGACTTGCAAAGATAACTCAATCATACATAAAAGAATTCAGAGAAGATTCCAATATTATTCATAGATAAATTTGATCATAAACCCACAATTTATCGGATCTTGACAAACACACCGCAAAAAGAGATTACATCGAATAGATCTCCACAAGAGAGGGGGAGAACATTATATTGAGATCCAAAAAGAGAGAAGAAGCCATCTAGCTAATAACTATGGACCCGTAGGTCTGTGGTAAACTACTCACAACTCATCGGAGAGGCTATGGTGTTGATGTAGAAACCCTCCGTGATCGATTCCCCCTCCGGCAGAGTGCCGACGAAGGCTCCAACATGGGATCTCGCGGATACAGAAGGTTACGACGGTGGAAATTGTGTTTCGCGGTGCTCCTGGATGTTTTCGGGGTCTGTGGATATATATAGGAGGAAGAAGTACGTCGGTGGACGCCCGAGGGGCCCACGAGACAGGGGGCGCGCCCTACAAGGGGGGCACCCTCCTATCTCGTGGGGCCCTCGGAGCTTTCTTGACTTGCACTCCAGGCTCTCCGGATCAGATTTGTTCCAAAAATAACGCTCCCGAAGGTTTCATTCCGTTTGGACTCCGTTTGATATTCCTTTTCTTCGAAATACTGAAATAGGCAAAAACAACAATATGGGCTGGGCCTCCGATTAGTAGGTTAGCCCCAAAAATGATATAAATGTGTAGAATAAAGCCCATAAACATCCAAAAGGGGTAATATAATAGCATGGAACAATAAAAAATTATAGATACGTTGGAGACGTATCAAGCATCCCCAAGCTTAATTCCTGCTCGTCCTCGAGTAGGTAAATGATAAAAAGAGAATTTTTGATGTGGAATGCTACCTAGCATAATTCATAATGTAATTTTCTTTCATTGTGGCATGAATGTTTAGATCCAAATGAATACAAAATAAAAGTTCATAAAGACATAAGAAATAGTAATACTTCAAGCATACTAATCAAGGTAATCATGCCTTCTCAAAATAACATGGCTAAAGAAAGTTATCCCTACAAAATCATATAGTCTGGCTGTTGCTCTATCTTCACCACACAAAGTATTTAATCATGCACAACCCCGATGACAAGCCAAACAATTGTTTCATACTTTAATAATCTCAAACTCTTTCAACTTTCACGCAGTACATGAGCGTGAGCCATGGACATAGCACTATATGCGAAATAGAATGGTGGTTGTGGGGAAGACAAAAAGAAGAAGATAGTCTCACATCAACTAGGTGTATCAATGGACTATGGAGATGCCCATTAATAGATATCAATGTGAGT